ATTGGGCAAGGCATTCAGGGATAAAGAAGAGCTATAAACAATTTGGAAATCATGGAAAATTTCAAAATGTATATATAATCCTGAAACCTATTTCATTATTCAAACACATCAACACAGGGCCTTTTTTTGTCTTATATTCTATGTATCGCTATTGAATCAAAATCTATACAATTTTGTTATTTGACCAACAGTTCTAAGGCCAATAGATATCCAAACAAAAATAAATAGCAACTTCCTTAAAAATATACTTTTGTAAAGGAAATAAAGACAAAGAAAAATTATGGAGAGTTGTATAATTGGTTGTACGCTGGCTAGCACGGAAATAAGGAAAATCAACCCTTTGTGTTTGTTTAGGGGTGAGGTCGCTTTTCCCCGCGGGACAATTGGACTACTTAATTTTCGAAACATTTTTATGGAAACATCATAAACAAATTTTTAAAAATGTTTGAGGAGAAATAATAGGATGACAAATTAAATATTCATAAATTAGAAATTGGAATTCTTACATTAATTACCAGTATCAAAACTTACATAATTACTTATTGATTTCCTTTGTAGAAAGATGGAGAGTAAACCACAGACAAAACACATTTAATACAAAACATTCCAAGAAACGAACAAAAAGTACATTAAAATGTAAAATGAAATATATGGCAAACAAAATGTAATCGCCCGATGTTTCTATCGGAATTTTAAAAGAAAGTTTAGATCTATCGGAAAAGTTATAGATTTGATGGAAATAATAACAGAAAAATAAACAATATTTCAAAATAAAATATTAGATCTCTGGGGCATTTATTTTACGTGCCCTAGGGAATTTCTCTTTTGGCACTCCTAGGGTTTACAGAGGAGCCTGAGTATTGTGCGCTGGTTCAGACAATCACGACTAGCCTCACTCCTTCCTCACTTACAACCAACTTTACTTAAATCTTCAGGGGAGCTCAAACTTCCATTTTATTTTTATAGAAAATGTTTTGTTTGCCTAAACATTCAAGTTTGTTTTCAAGTGTATTTGCGAGATATTTTTACCTTATTGATATTTCACTGTTTTCTTCACTCCCAATCCAATGTATTCTTTAAGAAAAAAAGAAAAAAGGTTTATGTAAGTGTATTTCTTTTTATTTGTACGAAAATAAATAATAAATTCGTCTTTCATATATTTTATTATTTTTGACTCAGAGTAAAATATTAATATATTTATAGCTTCAATGTATTTTTGTCTTTATAATAAAATACAGTTCTGTCTAAAGGAATTTTACAATTTAAATGAAGAGTTATGTGTGTTTTCTATTGACTCTCTATACAATATATTTTACATTACAAAGTGTACATTGCAGCTCTATAGAAGATATTCTTGGCATTCCTTTGTGAGATATTTCTATTTTCGAATGAAATATTCATTGGGGAAATTTTATTTCGGAAAACATATGAGACTTTTATGAAAATATTTATATAAGTAAATTATCCTTATGTATAGCCTTTTAATACATCAATGGATTCATAAAATTGTTATCAATTCTATTTCTTTGATAATTTTACAGTTTCATCATAATTGACGCGAAAATAGGTACTTTTTGGACCAACCGACGGTGGCAACATTGCCCCACTGCCCCCCCCCCCCCCGCGCATTCGCGAGCAGGAAAAGGATTACCCTCGCAATTCCGGTAAACAAACTGTCTCGACGCTAACGTTTGGTTTTGATAGGCCTGAAAAAGAACTATCTCTCATAAATTTTAATAATTGTTTTGAATAATATTTGTATTAATATTAATTTGTGTGATTTTTAAATAAATATTTATTTCAATAAGTATTAAATTATTCATCACTGTTTTCTAATTTAGGCCTCGCCATACAGCGTTGTGACTCAATTTCTACTGATCACTGCAACAAAGGTATTGATTTATCAATTTATAATTTTCAAATCAGTTTCCAGCATTACTGTAAAGCTAGGAGCTTTTAGTTCAGGTTAAGCCATCGGGACCTTGTATTGTCTTTCTTTTTTCAAATTTAAGACAAGATAACAATAATATTGTAAGTCATTCCTATGGTTTTCAATATTGATTTCGAAATATTTGTATCTAACAAATAAAAAAATGATATTAAAAAAAAGCAAGAGATAAAATATTTCTTTCAATTGTATATTAGAAGAGAAATTTAGTGATTTAATATTTCAAATCAACTAATTAGTGTAGGAGCCAATTATTTACAAAATAATTTAATTTGTTTAGAAAAAAAGGATAGGATTTTTTTCTGTCTCATATTTTAGAATTTTTTTCATCAATCAAAATGTTAATTAAAATATTTTTTAAAACCTATAACGCATGTTTTCTCATTTTAATATTTCCTATTTGATTTTTGACTAGGAAAATATGGCTTTTGATACATCAATATTTTCAAATGGTGGAATTTTATAAACATCTATCCCTCCTTCTCTTTCTCTCTGATTACTTCATTATAAATAATCCGCTTTTAACCGTTTGATAATTTTATCTAAATAACGAACTCTTTGAATTTCATGATATTAAATAACAAAACATTTTAAGATTACTCACATTTATATATTTTATCTATTTGTGTGTTATAGACAAATTGACATATTAGACATGAACAATAATTTTTTTTTAAATAATTGATATGGACAATGTATAGAAATAAATCAGGGGATGGGTATATAAGGATTTGTATTGTAAAGCTGAAATTATTATTTTTCAATATATAAAACAATCCTTAGATTAATTGATCATTTGAAATATATTGTAGCATAATGTCCAAATTTTACTATCAACAAATATTTATATAGATAGTTTTTTTTAAATGAATTTTCCTATCATCCTTATTATCAAAAGAAGAGAATAAAATATTATAGTCAAAAGAAACTCTCACCTTAAGATTTCGTTCATCTTTTCAAAATACATTACTCCAGGTGTGTTTATTCAACTTATTGTATCTTACTTATATTTGTATACTTCATTTGACAATTTGACAATATTATTGAGTAGTCCACTTCAGACTGCCTGAACGCTCACCTAACCGGTTTCAATAGAATGCTTGGTTCACCTGAAGTTCAGCGTACTTTAGAAACTAAGGTTTTCAGATTAAAAACGATTAGGAGTATCAATATAAAGAAATAACGCGCCATATATATAAGAAATGAAATCATTTAAGCACGAAATTTTCCTTCACACACAAAACAAACAACTCACTACTGATGAACTGAGTCCTCCCAATATCAATTCATCACAGTAAGAACAGTAGAAGTTTGTTTTGTTTTAGAAAGAAACATTTTTCTTTAATGCTTTCATTTCCTATATAATAGGATTATTCCGATTGAATGTAAAACCTATTTCAGTAACATTCAGCTGAAAAACTTCATATTTATCTTTTCTAGCATCTTACATTTATATACATTATAATTTGAAGTTAAACCTCGCTTGAACAAACCGGGGTTATAGTAAACCTTTCCTCTTGTAGAATATATATAAAAATTATCCAATATTTAGTGATACCATATAATTTTATGTCATATGCTGTTTTTTCGAACACCCACCGCAATATATGAAATTAACATTCAAAATAAATATTTGCTAAATATAAGGCATAAATATTAAGGCATATGACATTGAAGCGATTTTAAATAAAGTATTAATTTCAAAAAAAAAAAAATAATAATAATAATAATGTAGAAAATTTAAAAACTTTTTAAAAACTATTATTTTTTTATTTTTGAATTTTTTCTCAATCTATATAGATAACTGATTTATATAGAAAAATTATGTTTATTTAAAAAAAAGCAATATTTATACCTGAGCAAAAATGAATGATTCTAAAGAAAGTTAGGTAAAAAGAAGAGAGTTGGTATTTAACAGATCACCTGACAAAGTTCACAAACGAAAGGGTTACAAAAGAAATACGAGTTCAGATCATGGGGATTGCAAAGTAATTATTTACTTGGGGTGATTTCGGGTGAAATAAAGATCTACGGCCCAGGGGAGTTGTACTGCCCAGTGGGGCCAAATTAAAAAAGTGGAGCTGTACAGCTCGGTAACGCTGCCAATATATTTCGTAGAGCGATGGCTTCACGGACCTCGGCTCCCCAGATTGATCTTCTGCTGGGAAAAGAATGGAGGGATCGGCTGCTTCCCTAGGGAAGACCCACCTGACACTGTTTGCTGAATTCCAAATCAGAAACGTGATCTAAATTTACGAGATAATATCTTATCTAGCCACTTAGGGGATTTAGATTTAATAAAGTGGGGTGGCGAAGACGGATTGCTTCCAAAATTGTATTCCCTTTAGGTGCAATCATCTTGAAATGCGGAATGTTTCAGTGGGCATCGTATTGTAGCTCTTTCCTTAATTAAAACGACAAATTTGCCTCGCCTTCCTAATGATGACTTTGATAAATGACAAAATCACATTTGTATGGTGAATAGTGTGGAGCAATTTTAACATATTTAATAGAAATAAATAAATGTTTAAAAGCGCTCTAATTAGTAATTTTTTATTTAATGTGAACAAATATAGAAATAATATTTTTACATTGTAAAATATATATATAAATCATTTTTGAATTTTTAAAATGTATCGTTTATATATAAAGTGAATGTATCTCCTGAACGTGAAACCTAAAGTTGCTGATATTCCTATAATTATTTCATAATTTACTCAATACTCTGTCTTGAAAATTTAAGAAAATCTGATCACGTAAGAGGTTAGAGCCCGATAGATGGCGCAAACTATCAGAAACTTTCAGTTGCACAATAAGGAGATGCCTGTTTTTTCTTTCTTAATTTAGGCATCTTATCCCAGTATAATATCAATTAATTTATGTTTAAATTAATAATTGAATGTAAAACGACATTTTAAAACTATTCCGCATGAGTTTCTTTTCAACCTAAAATCAAAATTTATTTCAAGGAGAAATAACGACTATTTCCAGCCTTTGGGATGAGGTATGAAAAGGTGAATTGTGAATAGTAATGATAAACGAAAAATAAAAGTGTCCATGGTTGGGAATCGAACCCACACTGTTCCGCTTACCGGGCAGATGCCATGTCCACTAGGCTACCCTGGACATATTTTTCCGTTCGTAAATAATACATAAAGTAATTTATAAAAAAATATAATCTAATGCGGCTTGTGATTGTGAAACGACATTTTAAATCTATTCCGCATGTGTTTCTTTTCAACGAAAAATCAAAATTTATTTAAAGGAGAAATAGCGACTATCTCCAACCTTTGGGATGAAGTATGAAAAGGTGAATTATGAAGAGTAATGATAAATGGAAAAATAAAAGTATCCAGGGATGGGAATCGAACCCACACTGTTCCGCGTACCGGGCAGATGCCATGTCCACTAGGCTACCCTGGACATATTTTTCCGTTCGTAAATAATACATAAAGTAATTTATAACACAACATAATATAATGCGGCTTGTGATTGTAAAACGACATTTTAAAACTATTCCGCATGTGTTTCTTTTCAACGAAAAATCAAAATTTATTTCAAGGAGAAATAGCGACTATTTCCAACCTTTGGGATGAAGTATGAAAAAGTGAATTGTGAAGAGTAATGATAAATGGAAAAATAAAAGTATCCAGGGATGGGAATCGAACCCACACTGTTCCGCTTACCGGGCAGATGCCATGTACACTAGGCTACCCTGGACATATTTTGATTTTTCGTTGAAAAGAAACACATGCGGAATAGTTTTAAAATGTCGTTTCACAATCACAAGCCGCATTATATTATATTGTGTTATAAATTACTTTATGTATTATTTACGAACGGAAAATATGTCCAGGGTAGCCTAGTGGACATGGCATCTGCCCGGTAAGCGGAACAGTGTGGGTTCGATTCCCATCCCTGGACACTTTTATTTTTCCGTTTATCATTACTCTTCACAATTCACCTTTTCATACCTCATCCCAAAGGTTGGAAATAGTCGTTATTTCTCCTTGAAATAAAATTTTGATTTTTCGTTGAAAAGAAACACATGCGGAATAGTTTCAAAATGTCGTTTTACAATCACAAGCCGCATTATGTTATATTGTGTTAATAATTGAATGCTATGATCACAATATTTGTATTTAAAACACCTGATCAGAAAAAAGGTATTGGTCCATTTTTTAAAGTTTCCTTTTAAAAATGTAAAATGGTAAGAAGCATAAAATAAATCTTAGCACTATTCCCAATTCTGTTGCCTAATAGTTGTACTAAAGCCAGGTTTTATTTTATAAGTCGTACTGACTGATAATAATTTTATTGACATGAGTCAAATTTTAAGGAAAAATAAAATGAATAAAGCAATATAAATATATATATAACATTATTGTAGATACAACCTAGAAGGCTCTCTCACTGACAAAGAGTCAAAGAGTCCTCCATCCAACTTTATAGACAATAGTTCAGTAGCTCTGAATCTATATAACTTCCATAAAAATGCTGAAAAAAAGAAAGACTTAACCGAACATCCAAACATACCAAAAAATTCTGTTTGATGAGAAGGACAGAACCAACATCCAATTATTTGTTTGGGCAGATACGATAAGTTAACCCCCACACTGATAAAACGGTGTTTACCTTACAACCCTGAACACTCGGATTTTCCTGGAAAATCTCTTGAAGATTTCTTGAAAAAGCCATGGTCCACTTGTGCTATGTGAGCAGAAGAACTTAAACTGACTTGTTCCATATGTAAATACCTGTTTTCTTTCCTCTTTTCGCTCTCCACTTCTCCCATCCATATTTCCAAATTTTTTTATTTTATTTATTTATTTTTAAAATTCTTCTTATTTCTTTTTTCTTTCTTATAATCTGTATATATTTAACATATGTATATATTCTTTCACAATAGGAGCAATGTCGCACGCATTCAGACACGCAATGCTGAAAAACGCTACACCAGGTTTGACAAATTCAGCAAAAACTTGTATCTCATTCTTTATCACTACCATTACGTTTTGTATTGGAGTGATAAACAAAATGCATTGTTTTACTGTGTTTTTAAAGTGAGATGTGCCATTTTGGTATATATAAACAAAGATGTGCCGTTTTTTTTTAATGTTGATTCTTATGGATTGCGAAATCTTGAGAAAAACATATATATTTACCGAAATGTATATGTATAGCTCCAATTTCAATCAATAGAATAGATTCGATAAAGATAAAAAATAAAAGTGTTTTTTTAGCAGTGTAACTTTGTTTGAAAAAGTATATATTTTTAATTCATTCCTCCAAGTACTTCTATAATGAAAAGTATGTTGTTTATTTATTGAGGTGGTAAAATTTGCATTTAGTAAAACATACACACCACTCAACTAAGACATCGCACCCTTTGCATAGCAAGTCAGGCGACAATAATACTGCTATTCTTTCCTTGTTATCCATTTTGAATCACTATTAAAATATATTCCGGTGTTTTCTGCCAAATTGAATGAACAAATTTACATCCATATTCATTTGAAGTGTATATTAACGGTTTTAGAAGACGTTTCAAAATATACCATTTTGAATTTTTGCTCGTGACTACAGTAGTCTCCCTAAAGCCACAATCATCACCACAAACACACGACCACTTTATTGACATTAAAAACGATATGCAAGGTCACTCCAAAGTTTTTTCAATCACTTATTTTATTAAAGCTGCAACTTTCAAATTGTCATAGTTTCTCAAAGTATTGTTACGACGCTTCTCAGTCGTCGAAGTTTTCGTACAAGGTTTCTAAGAAAACATTGTGGGTTCGTTGTGGATACAGCTTATCACGGTATATTTATTATAAGAGCTTCAAAGAGTAGATTAATAACTATATACAGTAGATGGACTTGCCTCCATTGTCCGATACCAAATGGATCCTCCTCGTCACCGTCTTCCCGGTCAGTCCATACGGCCACACTCCCGGCACCCACTTCCCGTAGCCAACTTGCCACCGTCTGTTGTCACCGCCGTTCTGTTTGAACTGTCCTCCTCCCCCCCCCCCCCCCCCCCCCATGTTGGAATGCCGTCGTGGCGCCTGTCCTCCCCACTCACACGTGGGCCATCCTCCCGTAGCTGGTGGAGTCCATCCATCTTTCCACAACTTCACCCTGGGATCCCTGCCTCTCGGATATCTATTCATACAGTGAGAAGGGAATTATCCATATTACAGTATTCACCCTTAGCACCTATGTAAGATTTATGTATATAATGAGTGTTTCATAATATATTGATACATCTTTTACAGGGCATGGTGACTTTATCGCATACTTAGGTAGAATTTTTAGAATAGACTCTTCGATATGCTAATTCAACTGATAAAATCATAACCTAGGACATATTTTAATCATGTTCCTACTTTTAAAATATCTGAGATAACATGTAGTGCCAAATAGTTTCCATTAGAGAATAATATTTTAACAAGTTCAGGCAGACTATTTCAACTACCAATAACCTAAACTGCACTAATGAATTGAAAATTATAGCTTTAATTTGAATAATTCACCAATTGTAAATAATATATATTTCCAATATTATATAAATGAGTAGTTTATTATAATTATACAGGTATGCGTTCTGATATAATCTCTGGGCGAAAGTAGATCGCATGCTTTCATGTTAGGTGAATAACGGCTTTGTTCGCTAGTGGCGATAACATTTGTGACCAACTTGAAGATTTGTCGAGGTAATAAAGGGCCACCAGTAAAAATAACTCAGAACTGATTTCTCAATTCATGATTTTAGAATGAAATTAAGTTCAGTAAAGCGCATCAATAATGATCGATAGAAAAATTTTAAATATGACCAATGGCCTTAACCTAAAATTTACATAGGTAATTATCATCTGCTAAGTCTATATAATGAAACTAAATTGTGTGATTATGTCTGTCGCAATTACTCTCTGAAATGGCAGATAATGAAGACGGGATTTTTTACATGAATAATCAAAGGTAAAATTTCAGATCTTATATTCAACTCTATTATATTGAACTGCAAATATTTCAAAAGTTACAATGTATTCAAGCGATATTAAAATAATAATAATGGCGATGATATATTCATTAATCTCTATTATAATACCTTTTAGTATTTAAAGTACTAATTATTTCGACGCTACTCAAAATATGTATATAAAATCTTATTATAAATTATCTCTTTTAAGAATCATGACAAATTTGTATCATATTTAAGCGATAGATGGCGCTAAATCAATAATAATAGTAGTAATATAATGGTAAAATCATATTAAATTTTAATTTACCATATTCGTTAAAAGATATACACTCGGGGATATAACAAGAGCGATATAAATCTGACAGTATATATATAAATATTTTAACTATGAGAAGAATGTGTATAAACAAATTTTCAAGAGGTGAACCTTCCTAATGTTTAAATAAATAACTTTTAAAAATATATAACAAAAAATAACTACAGACTCAAGATAATACACATATAAGTTCAATATTTGAAATGCAATAGGGAAACATATATTTGAATCCCGGACACTATGTGGAAGATTTTATTCCCGAATGTTGACATTTCCCTAAACAAATGTTGAACCGATCAAATCAATAAAAATGAGAGTGGAATACAATGTTCCTACAACTGAACAAAACGATGTTTGACAACAATCTGTGAAGTAATCAATGAAATAATATGAGGCCGTTGTTTTCCAGCAGTCGAACAGAACAATGTCAAACAAATATCCAGTCAAATCAATAAAATGATCGTTCCAAAAATGAGGCTCTGTTTGATGGATGAAAGTTTGGCCGTCCGCGCCACCTGGCGAGCATATATCCAGTTACACTAAACAAAACAACCCATTATTTACGACCGTTGACATTTTCTTCATCTCTCTTTGCCCTCATGAATCTTCCATCATTTGTTTAAATGACAAATTTTATTGTTTTTATCCTAATATCTCTATATCACATTAGTTTGATCGGCGTCAATGTGGAATGATATACGAGACTTTGAATTTAAGCTTTTTCTTATCAACATGTTAGAGTGTAGATAGTTTTAATAAATGATAAATTAGGGATAAAAATAATTTTAACAACTAGTGGAAAAATGTTTGAGAGAGAAAATTGAAACTA